ACACTGCAGGAATCCATGAATCACTCAACAATCAGGTAAGAACCTCACATGAGGCAAAGTCACGGAGATCCTACCACAGCCAGTCACACACTCAGCAATCTCTCACCACGAGCTGCTGGTGCAGTGAGGAAAGCTCACACTCGCTCTCGCTCTCAGTCAGTCCAGGGGCTCGGCTGTTGTTACTGTAGCAGCAGGATCTCTGTGAGCAGAATTGTTAGACCTTCCCTCCTGTGAGGCTCTGTCTGATTGTTATAGTTGTTATAATTCTGCTGTTATAACAGATGTTATAGGAGTGATTCAGGTTGTTAAAATGAGCAAAACGAAACAAAAAGACTTTTTACAGACACGTTTGCCTGTACTTACAACCACAACAACAACAACTTGCATTTATATAGCGCCCCCTCACACAAGGTGGTGTCTCAGATGCTTCACTGAGTTCAACAAATAAACTGTCAAATAAATAGTGGAGTCTGTAGCTCAGTGGTGAGAGCACTCGCCTCGCAAGCGAGAGACCTGGGTTTGATTCCCGGGCGGGGGGAAACCTTGGGCAAGTTTCTTTACTCCACACGCCTCTGTTTACCAGCAGTAAGTAGGAACCCGGTTGTTAGTTGATTGGCGGATCACTTTTCTGGGAGATAATAATCCCTTCAAGAAAAATACATCTAAAAAAATAATAATTCGGTCACTTAATCCACGACTGTTTGTGGGGACGCTGCTGTGCGCAATTGGCTGCCGTGTTTCGCCCACAAAACATACAGTCAATTCACTTTACAGAATATTCTGTGAAGCGCTTTGAGACAACAACAACAACAACAAGATTCCATTTATAGAGCGCCTTTTACGTCGGGAGGACGTCCCAAGGCGCTGGACAGTTGGGTCAGGACCCGAGCATTGGGGGGGAAATGGTCAGGGGGAGGGGAGGAAGGGAGGGGGCGAGGAGGGGGAGATGGTCAGGGTGAGGGGAGGGAAGGGAGGGGGCGAGGAGGGGGAGATGGTCAGGGTGAGGGGAGGGAAGGGAGGGCGAGGGGGAGATGGTCAGGGTGAGGGGAGGGAAGGGAGGGAGCGAGGAGGGGGTAGAGAGTCGAGAGGGGAGCCGAAGGCTCGGTCAAAGAGAAAGGTCTTGAGACCGGCCTTGAAGGAGGAAAGGGAGGAAGCGGTGAAGGCACCGGGGGATAGAGTTCCAGAGCCTCGGGGCTGAGAGGCTGAAGGCCCGGCCACCGATGGTAGGGCGGTTGGGGCGGGGGATGTGGAGCAGACCGGAGCCAGAGGAACGGAGGGTACGGGCAGGTAGGTAGGGGGATAGTAGGTCGGAGAGGTAGGAGGGAGTGAGGCCGTGAATGGCCTTGTAGGTGAGGATGAGAATCTTGAATTTGATCCACTGGGGGATGGGGAGCCAGTGGAGGCGAGCGAGGGCGAGGGTAAGGGTGGGAGTGAGGGTGAGGGCGAGGTTGAGGGCGAGGGTGGGAGTGATGTGTGCGTGGTGTCTGGTGCGGGACAGTACATGAGCTGCAGAGTTCTGAATGACCTGCAGTGTGGAGGGAGGTGGCGGGAAGGCCGACGAGGAGAGAGTTCCCATAGTCCAGCCTTGAGGTGATAAAGGTGTGGACCAGAGTTTCAGCCGCGTGAGGGGTGAGGTAGTGCCGTAGTCTGGCGATGTATCGGAGGTGGTGGAAGGCGGTGCCAGTTGTGGTGCGGATATGAGGGAGAAAGCACAGCTCAGGGTCGAACAGAACCCCGAGGTTCCTGATGGCTTTGAGAGGTGGAGAGTGCGGAGCTGATGGTGTCGGCGCCTGAGGTGCGGAGGCGCTGACGTGAGCCAATCAGGAGGGCCTCAGTTTTACGCACGTTGAGCTGAAGAAAGTTGTCTCTCGTCCAGGACTCGATGTCGGACAGACAGCTGTCTTATTATTATTATTGTTAATAATAATCCCTCCAAAAACAACAATAATAAATTGGTCATTTTCAATCGACGACTGTTTGTGGGACATTGCTGTGTGCAATTGGCTGCTGCGTTCGCCCACAAATATACAGTCAATTCACTTTACAGTGGGTTCTGTGAAGCGCTTTGGGACGTCCTCCCGACGTGAAAAGCGCTATATCAAATGCAAGGATTATTATTATTAATATTATTATTATCGGGGGTCGTGGAGTTGAGAGTAGAGGAGGAAAGGTAGAGTTGGGTGTCATCCGCATACATGTGGAAGTTAACCCCATGTCTGCGGATGATGTCACCACAGGGGGAGCATATAGAGGGTGAAGAGGAGGGGACCGAGGACAGAGCCCTGAGGGACACCGCACGAGACAGTACGGGGGGTGGAGGAGAAGCCGTTCGTGGAAACAAAGTGAAGACGGTGAGAAAGGTACGACCTAAACCACTCAAGGACAGGACCTTGAAGGATGAGGTGGGAGGACAAGCGGTGGAGGAGGATAGTGTGGTTGACCGTATCGAATGCTGCCGATAGGTAGTATATATAATAATAATTTGGTCACTTAATCCACAACTGTTTGTGGGACATTGCTGTGCGCAATTGGCTGCCGCGTTTTGCCCATAAATATACAGTCAATTCACTTTACAGTATATTCTGTGAAGAGCTTTGAGATGTCTCGAAGATGTGATGAGGCGCTGTATCAAATGCGAGGGTTATTATTATTATTATTATTTGTGGGGCTGGGGGCCACTCTATCACACTGACATCTGCTCGCTCTGCACAGTGTGTGTTGGTGTAAGTCTTCCCACTCACAGCGCCCCCTACTGACCCCGGAGGATTCATGGATATATAATCACCCTGGTTATACAGTCACTGAACTCTTTTCCCTTGGAGTGACGATACTTCAGGAGTTTACTGGAGTTAACGAACAAGCAATGAGGAGGTTAGGAGAGTTTTTTACACATAGAAAGTCGTCAGGATGTGGAATGTCCTGCCGGGAGCAATAGTTGAGTCAGGATCCATAGTAGCTTTCAGAAGGGAACCACACATATATCTAAAAAGGGATAAACTACAGTGATATGTGGTGAAAAGGCAAAAAATGGGACTGAAAGAATTGCTCTTAAAAAAGCCGCCACAGACACGAATGGTCTTCTTCTGTGCTGTCAATTTTTCTGGTTGATTTAAGTAAAACAGCTTTAGTGTGTTCACACAGAACAACATGTGCCTGTTGGAGGCAAAGATTCATTCCACTTATAATAATAATAATAATCCTTGTATTTGATATAGCGCTTTTCAGTGGGTCACACAGAACAACATGTGCCTGTTGGAGGCAAAGATTCATTCCACTTAACAGGCAGCAGGGAATCAATGGCCCTGAGATGATTATTTATTAGTTACCTAATCGATTAAATGTCAATCCCTTGCTATCTGTCTGCCTTGTGAGGTTGGCAAGTGTGTGGGGGTGGGAGTGAGGCTTTCTGTATATTATTCCGTTGCTATTTCAAAGTCTTTCTCACGGTTTCTATTCCCCATCCTCATCAGAATTTCCCCCCAAATGAAAATGAATCACATGTCAGTGTTGTTTACGGGAAGTCACTGGCGTAAGACAACCTGCCTCGTTGCTCTGTTAACAGCTTTATTTTCTCATCAAATATATATTCTACGTGCTTCAAGACTTTTGCTTGTAAATGATATGCTGTATAAATGCACGTTCTAGTTCTACTGCCTATGTATCACCTCCCCTTTCTCCCCCGCTCAGCATCTAATTCCACCAGCATATAGCGCTCCGAGATGCTACTCCGTGGAAAGGACTCTGTATAAGCACAAATTATTCTTGTTGTTGCTGTTGTTTGTTGTCATCCTCAAATATCCATTTGATTTGCAGAGTCAATACATTTGGAACAAGATATGTGCTGCGTCTCCGGAAATCACGTCTCAGCGAGTCTTAATATCAATGCAGAAGCTTCACGTTGCTTTGTGGGAGGGGGAAGTGGCAAAAACTATCAGGTTGGACCCAGGATCATCTCAGTCAGACTGTAATTGGCTCTAAAAATCTTTAAAAATTGAAATCTGCCCTCATCTGGCCTCACCCTCTACTCCATCCCTGAAACCCTCCTCCTCGCCCCCTACCTCACCTCCTTCAAGACCCATATCAAGACCTTCCTCTTTGATCGTGGCTTCGGCCATACACTCCCACCCCCACCGCACGACCCTCCAAACCTCTTGGTTGCAATCCTAGCTCGGGTGTAAGTCCTTAACTGTCCAACGCCTTGCGGACGTACTTCCCAAGTGAAAGGCATTACATAAAGGTAATTTGTTATTTGTTGGAATGCCTTATTGAAATGTTATCACTGTTTATCATCCCTTATAAGGCCCTACAACCTTTCTGTCCGAGCCTGACCTTGGCTCCTCTCCTCCCGACCCCAGCTCTTTGTCGCTTCTGTGAAGCGCTTCGCAATGGTTCCCGCAGTGAAACGGTCTGAGCAGATGTACAGTTGTTGTTGTAGATGTTGTAGGCTTAGGATGATCAGTCAAACAATAACTTGAGATAAGGAGGTGTGGCTCAGTCGGTAGGACTTTGGCCTCCGAGAGAGAGGATTATGGGATCAAACCCCACCCCAGGACTCTCACACAGCCTAAGCTGATGCTGTAATGCAATTGTTGGAGGTGCCGTCTTTCAGGTGAGACGTTATACCAAGGCCTCGTTTGCCTGTTCAGGGGCGTTAAAGATCCCATGGAGCTACTCAAAAAAAGAAGGGAGTTTCTCTCTCCCGGTGTCTTGGCCAACAATCCCCCAAAATACAATCGCTCGCTCACTCCGTGGTAGTTTGTGAGGTGCTGCTGTGCCAATTAGGTTGCCGTTTTCGGCCACAAAATACACAGTCACTACATTTTGATGTAAATCATGTGAAGCGCTTTGAGACGTCCTCGCAACATGAAAGGTACTGATTCAAATGTTAGGATTATTATTATTATTATTATTATTATTATTATCAGGATGAAAATGTCATGGATTCAAATAAAAATGCGGATCAATAACTTTGTATACAAAATTCCGTAGGTGACACTTACCTGAGTGATCCGACTGCGAGGATGTGCCAGCATCCCTGGCGTTCCCTTTCTCTGGAACGTTGAGTAACTTCCTCGCGATTGTGAATCTGGTGTTGTGTTCCTTTCCTGCAGTTTGATTTTATTATTCTGTTCTATCTTCACATTAGTCACTCATTTGTTTTATTGCCTTTGACAACGCAACGTGCTTTCCTCCTCGATCCGGAGTGCTTTACAGTTAAGAGTTCCTGGTTGGCGTTCACTAGCTCTGGGTTGCGAACAGAGCCACAAAGTCAGTACCTGGGGGGGTTACAAATGCGGCTCAGTCGGTAGCACTCTCACCTCCGGCTCAGGAGGTTGTGGATATTCACAGAACTTTCCAATAAAGAAGAGACTTTTGTTTAAATCTTCCCCCACCTTGTGACAAGGAGGTCATTAAGATAAAACACCCTAAGGTTAGTAGAGGATAAAGTGAGATAATAATATTAATAATAATATTCTGTGAAGCGCTTTGAGACGTCTCAAAGACGCGATAAGGCGCTATATCAAATGCAAGGATTATTTTATTTATTATAACATTGATAGACACACAGACCTCTTCCTCAAACGGTTCACACAAGAGGCAGATTCCAGCGGAAAGTTTATTATTAATATTATTTTTATAATTACAGGAATAGATCAGTGATTAAAAAAGTGCAGGTCAGTCCCCGAGGCAACTTTTCACAACTTTTCTCAAACTTTTCTTAAAGGTTTTCTCAAACCTTTACAACTTTTTTCAAACCTTTCTAAAGCTTTTTCAAACTTTTCTCTACTTTTTCAACTTGTTGAGAAAGGTTTTTTTTTGAAATTTGGCAGAAAAATACAGAAACACACAGAAAGAGAGAAATGAAGCAATACATTGATTGATTGTCGCAGTATTAGCTAGAACAGACCTTGTTGAAATCAAAACTTTATTTCTTTTTAACGAAAAAAGCCGGTGGTTTATTAAAAACCGCACTTTTAATTTAATTTTATTTTTGTTGTCGTTGAACAACTCAAAAAGTTGTTTTGTCTTGTTGAAAGACTTGGTAACACTGAATTATTCTTCTTGAGAGGGACAAAAAAAAAAGCACAAACCCTTTTTTTTATAAAGATACACCAAAAACTGTTCAAATCATGCATTGTAAAAAAAAAAGTGTTAAACTTTTGAATTTGTGTCTTTTCATTTCTTTTTTGTTTTTTTTTTCCTCTTTTTTGATAAAAAAAATGCCACTTTTTTGGTGTGTAATTTTCTCAGGAAAGAAACATAAACCGTTGTTGTACTTACTTTTTTTTGACTAGTATTTTGAATTAAGTATTCAGCCCTGTGCTTGGAGAAACCTTGTGCCGTGTGAGATTAAGTGTTTGATGCAGTTATAGGACGGACCAGGAGGGAGTACCACGTGAAAGAGATACTATTAATAGACCACATCGCTCGCTTCTCTGTGCCCACATTTGGTCAAGACTTTGAAGGATTTGGCACATTCCCAACCCCTCTTTAGAAAAAAAAATCAAGTCGGGTTTGTGGCGTACACTTGCTCCAGTCAATCAATGGCAAATCTGTCAATCGGGAAGCAATTTCTGCGCTTGATAGCTGGCAATATAACCCCCCACCCTCCCGTCCCCTCTCTCTCTCTCTCTCTCTCTCTCTCCCACTCCCCCCATTAAAAGGTTGCTAAAATTGAAGAGAGAATTTTTTGGTGGCAGCCGATCTCTCATTTGATACGATGACTTTCACATTGGGGTGGGGGCGGGGGTTCATCTCGAACTGGTTCACAGGATTCACTGGAAACACAGTAATGTGTATTTTTGTGGCAGCCAATTTGCCCAGAACCATGGCCCACATCAGCCAGGCAGTCAATAGCCAATTTTATTTGGCGGTTGTTAGCCTGGACACTGGGAGAGAGAAACTCCCTTCTCCTAGGGCCAAGAGATCTTTCATGTCTACCTAAGCAGCTAAATGGGACCATCCAAATGTCTCAACCAAAAGACAATGCAGCGTTCCCTCCAGGATTACGTTTGACCATTAGGTTTATCAGTTTATAGTCCTGACGTGGGAGATGAACCCATAACCTCTGACTCACAGGCACATCCTACTAAGCCAGGATGTAACAAGACACAACAGGTGTTTTTTTTAACGCTGCCTCATTTAATTATACAGCTGCCTTAAGAGTCTTAAGATGAGCTTTAAAGGCAAGCTGGGGGGGGGGAGAGGGGGAGTGGGAGTAGTTTGTGAGCGTGGGGGCAGAACAGGTGAAAGCTCGCCCTCCGATAATCGAATGTCCCACAACAGCCAGGCAACCATTGACCAATTTTATTCGGGTGATTGTTAGCCAGGATACCGGGAGAGAGGTACTCGCTTCTCTTAGGGCCACGAGATCCTTAGTGTCCACCTGACATTGAGGTGTTTGCAGAGCGGAGGGAACCGCCGAGGGAATGAAATTGATTCCTGTTGCGCGTCCCGACTCAGGCAAACAGAACGCCCAGGGGTACTCACGCGACTGATTCCATTCATTGATCATTGATAGCTGGCGATTCCGAGAGAAATGTGGGCTCCGGGGCCTGAGAGTGGCCACCAACCTGCCACTGGACAGCAGGTGTTTGCGACACTCATTGCTTCACCACAGACCGACTACCCACCACTTCCTGACCAGCAACAACACCCCATGCACCGCGCCGCCACCCCCCCTCCCAAACCAAACTGCTCATTCGTCTCACTGCTAGTTTATGGGACGTTGCTTTGCACAATCACCTTTGTGTTCACCTACAGAACACACACTTGGTGGGTTTCACGGTAAATCAAGTGAAGTACTTTGGGGTTATCTTCCCAACGTGAAAGTTGCTACGCAAAATACAAGGATTATTTCACAGACCGACAGTAAATCCCTTTCAGATCTGCAAAACCCCACCACGTAAATAGAAATGAGAAAATAGACAAAGCCAATTCCCAAGCGCTTGCTTAGGTTCCCAATACCCTCCACCGAAACCCGGGTGCCACTATTAGACCAGATTCCACCCAGTATTTCAGCTGTTTTGTCTTCAAAACTAAATCCCTGGCCTGACTGGCTCGGCTTTAGTTTCATGTTTAATGAGACTTTAAAGCACGCACATCACGAGACTCGGAAACGAGGATGTTCTGCACATTTTCGGACATCCGATATGTAACGCAGAAACCCGGAGCTCCAGAACGCAGACGAGAAGGAACTTTCCCACACAGAGAGCAGAGAGAGTGCAGTGTCTCCGCAGTCAGTGGTCGGGAGCCTAACCATATGCACCTTCAAAAAAAAAAGCCTGGACACCTGATTAAGAGAGAATAAAGTTGGGGGATATACGGGAAGGGCTGGTATATGGGACTAGGGATCAGGTCTAGGATGGGCATTGGCTGGACTGGATGGGCTGAATGGCCTGTTCCTGAGCTGAACTTCCTATCAATCCATTGTGGACTTGTGTTCCCTAACACAATGCCACAGCTCCACCTGGTGGTGAAGAGGAGTATTCAGCAGAGCGCCCCCTGGTGGTCATATTCTGTACTGGTCGCATTCAGGGCTTCAAGACTCGCCAATCATCCCTCGTGTCATGCTTATGTCCATCATCAATTCAAAAAAATCACCTATAATTAAACGTCGCTTTAGTTGTTGCAAACTCCTGCTCACTTTAAGATTTATTTGTTCTGCAAAGGGATTCGGTTTGGAAGCAACCGTCAACCTCAGCCCCCCCCAACCGCACCACCCACCGCTCTTTCAGTGACTCAGCTGTTAAAAGCACCACAAACCGCTGAACCGAGTCACGCTAATTAAGTTTGATTGCGGAGGATGGGAAATAAAAATAAAATAATAATTTGGTCCCTCAATTCACGACGCTGCTGTGAGTAATTGGCTGCTGCGTTTCGCCTACAAAATACACACTCAATCCACTTTACAGTATATTCTGGGAAGCGCTTTGAGACGTCTCAACGATGTGATAAGGCGCTGTATCAATTGCAAGGATTATTATTATTATTCTTCAGTGACCCTGCTGGAGGCATGTTTGCTTGTGTTTTTCTGTATGTGTGTGTGTGTATGTCTGTCTGTCTGTCTGTCTGTCTGTCTGTCTGTCTGTCTGTCTGTCTGTCTGTCTGTCTGTCTGTCTGTCTGTCTGTCTGTCTGTCTGTCTGTCTGTCTGTCTGTCTGTCTGTCTGTCTGTCTGTGCGCATGTATGTGTATGTGCGTGTGTGACTGTATGTATGTGCATCTGTGTGTGTATCTGTGGTGTGTATGTGTGTGTGTTGCTAACATTCACTGTTGAGGTTTGCATGAGAATAACATGCTCTGGATCACAAGATCAGTTCAGATAAAGAAGCCCCTTCGGCCCATTTGATCTCATCCCTTCAGAATCCCCACCATACCGTCCCCCCATCACAATGGCCAGTGTCCTGACCTCAACCACCATCCTGACAACCCTGGACCTGGATCCTCTTGTGCTGCTGTCTTGCTTTATTCTGTTAATCATCGCCCGAATAATTTAAATATTACAAATAATAATGATAACAATAATTTGGTCACTCAATCCACGACTGTTTGTGGGACGCTGCTGTGTGTAATTGGCTGCAGCAGTTCGCCCACAAAATACACCGTCAATTCACTTTACAGTGTATTCTGTGAAGTGCTTTGAGGCGTCTCAATGAAGTGATAAGACTACGTAGTGGTAGTACAGTATTATCCACCTGAACAGGCAGACAAGACCTTGGTTTAACATCTCACCTGAAGCACGGCACCTCCAATATTGCAGCGATCCCCTGCCCCCAGCACTGCATTGGAGTGTCAGCTGAGACTATATGAGTTCAAAGTCCGGACATAGGGGTTGACTCAGAGGTGAAGGGGGGGTTGGGGTTGGGGGGGGGTTGGGGGTTGGAGATTGTGCCTATCATTTGCTGTTGAAACATCTGCTGGGAGCTTTGCCAGGCTGTGCGACGTGGCCTAGGAATGTGTGGCAGCCGTTGCGAGATTCTTGAGCAGCTCCACACATTGCTGGTAAAACCACAAGCTTGTCAACTATGATGGATTTTGTTTACTTTGTCTGATGTAATATAAAGGGGAGACTCAGGGCAGATTCCTCACGTTCCCTCCCTCCACTCTGTCCTTCCTGTACACTGACTGGCTGACTGACTGATTCCTTCCCCTCTTTCTGGTTATCTCCCCCACCACTCGCTTTCCCCGCTGTGCTACGTAATCACTTGATTTCAGACCCTGTCCCATTGAATTATCATAATAAGACGGACTCTCTCTCTCTGTCTCTCTCCTGACGTATTGCCCGGTGCTGGGCACCGGATACCCACCGGCAGCTCACCTTGTGACCTTTCCTCAGTCCTCGCCAACCTTTATGGTCACCCAATATTCTCACACTCGGACTCTCTTTCACACTCTCACCGCACACACTATCTACACAAGCACGCAAAGTCATGTTCACTCGCTCGCTCACGCACATTCATCCGTTCACACACTTGTGCACAAACACACTTTAATTGGCATCGTCTCCGCCATTTGGTTCATCGCACTGTGCCGTGTGCGTGGAGGAGGCCCGGTGTCCTGACCTCAATCACCTTTCCTGGTGTATACTTCCCGGTTATTCCCGACCCAGTGTCTGAAAGAGCAAATGTTCCATTTCTGGTTTTACAATGGGGGTAAAAGGCAGGTCACCTCTGTTTAGACTGGGTATTGCTGTTAATTGAACAGCTTTGTGGAGCAGACAGTGTATACAGTGAAACCTCCAGGGAATGTGCCTCCTGCTGCAGACTGAGCGGCCTGTGGAATCGTGGGCTCATGCCTTGCCCCAAACATGTGGTCACAGTGACTCCCAGTCGGCTTCACACGATTTGGGCACAAAAGTGTCTTTCACGAGAAACTGTTTATCTCTTTGATTCTAATTTACTTTTTCCCCTCTAGGATTTCTGCCCCACGCCCGCACCTGACTTTGGCTCAGTGAGGCTCTCTCACCTCAGGGATCTGAAGCCACAAACTACTTCTCGGGCCACACGGTCATTAGCTTTTGAGCCAATGGCAGGAAAAACCTCTGGTAATCAGGGTCTCCTTAGAGCTGAACTGGCTCCAAGGTGAATTGCCTGGCAATGGAATATAAGAATCGAGTCAGCCCTCTGTGCCGGTCTCTAGTCCGGTTCCTGAGCCAGGCAGGTCTGCAGTATTCCGCACTCACTGCTGATGACAGCACAGCCCGGCCCGGCTCATCGACGGGACCTGGATGTACAGACCAGTCACTGGGGGCAGGGAATTCTCCCCCTCAGCTCCTGTTAACCCTGCAGCCAAAGCCCTAAGGGGTAGTGGTGGTCCTAGCTGGACAGGCAGCGGGAAAGCTTGGCCAGACATCAATATC